CCTATGGGGTGGCAGTGAATGATCAGGATGAAATTGCTGTGACTGAGCTCGGTAACAACAGGGTTTCAGTGTTTAGTAGTGACGGTACCCACTTAAGATCCTTTGGTAGGAAGGGTAAGAATAATGGTGAGTTCTATTGCCCTACAGGGATCGCTTTTGATAGTCATGGCAATATTGTAGTGGCAGACTGTTATAATCACAGGGTGCAAGTCTTTAATCGGAATGGCAACTTTCTTAGTATGTTTGGTCAACAAGGAAGTCGTGATAATCAGCTTGAATTCCCTCGAGGTTTATCAATAAACGGCAACGGTGATATTATTGTTGCTGATAAAGGTAACAAATTAATCAAGATATTCTCTTCTAGTGGGGAGTATTCACGTAAATTTGGTGGAGCAGGTTCTTTGGTCAATCCCTATCACTGTATTCAACACGGTCAATATTTTATAGTCTCAGATCGTGGTGATCATTCCATTAAAATGTTTAATCTGGAGGGAAAGTTTATTACTAAATTTGGAAAACAGGGAATCAAAGATGGAGAATTCAATGAGCCCCGTTACTTGTCAGTTAACAAAGAAGGATTGCTTATGGTCTGTGATGAAAAGAATCACAGAGTTCAGGTACTTGATCTGAGTGGAAATTTTGTTACAAAGTTTGGAAGTGAAGGTAGCGGGAGAGGAGAGTTTAAGTGTCCAGTGTCTACAGCAACCCTTAGTGATGGAAGGATAGTTGTGTGTGATAAGGAGAACAACCGAATCCAGGTTTTTGACCAGTTATAATATGATCTTTCCAGTGGTATTATTGTCGAAAAGTTCAAATTGGCTTCTTTATCTAGAAAAAGAAACCGTAACTTTTTTCGAACAACATCCTGAATTCGTGAGGTATTTGTCACTGTTGCCGGATGGGCGGGCATTAGGTTGTCCTCACACGTAGTTTGTCTTTTCTGTGAATGTAGCAATAAATTATAAAATCGTGGCTGTAATAATAGCTGAAATGACATTCAAATTGTAAATATATTTTGTAATCCTTTTTCAAATATATCGTATAGTCTCATTTAATTGCCGATCAGGGGTAGTTTTATAAGGTTGTTCAATTTTTTTGGTATCAAAATTGTTTTTTACGTTGTACCCCTTTTCATTTTTTTTTTCCAGCAGTTGCTTGTTGTTAGCTAGTGTATTTTTGGAAGTATTTTTCCCGCGCCCTCAGCTCAAGTACCATCTTTTTTTCTCATCAGGATCTTCAGGTCCGTTAAATTATAACATATATATTTAGCGAATTGTATAACTTTTTGTCCAAAATGCATTAAAGGATAATCAAATATGAAGAATGTTTTTTTCTTCAAATTTATCGTTGTTAATGAGACCATCATCATGTGTTGACGTTAAACTTACCAGTACCTCATTCAAGTGTAAAATAATGTATTTAGCACGCTTGTACTAATTGAGGACACTATTTTTACGTCTCGTCTCTGAGAATGGATCATCATTTCTATGTCCAGTGATCATCCGAGTCACGTGTAGGTCAACTGAGCAGTCTGTAGGACAAGGCAACAGTGCAGTCGAACTTCTCTTTAATAAAAAAACCGCAAAAATCATCTTTTGCCGATTTTTTCACCTGATTTTACATTACTGAATGGCCAGATTTGGTTGTTTTATGATGAAAAGTTGATTTTTGTCAAATCGCTTGGTACTTTTCCTTGAGGACAAACTCATAGTACTTTTGCTTGAAGACACCTCATTTTTTGTCCCTGGGAAAAAAAAAGCCCTTACACAGTTTTCTCTTAAATCAACCCCCTTAATACGGACACTTTCGTCTCATTCCAATCTTTTTTCAAGAACACTATCGGTAGCCACTGTTTGGACCTACAAAAGCAAATTTACCGTTTGCTTTCTACATAGTTTGCATTTCGACCCAAAGGATCTCTTGATAAAACAGGGCGTGGCTCGTCACGTGATGCATTTATAAACAATTTTTCAAATGAACTTTGAAGATTTCTTAGTTATGATATGCCTTATTATTTATTAGACCTGGGATACCGTAAAATTCCGAAAAGAAGCCCCGGGGCTTAAATTTTTCAAAGGCCCTTTTTGAAGGGCTTATATTTGGAGGG